AAAAAAAAAAAAAAAAAAAAAAAAAAAAAAAAAAAAAAAAAAAAAAAAAAAAAAAAAAAGAGAGCGAGTATGCCGCTGGTGTTGGTGAGGTCACGGGATGAGAGAGAAAGCCACCATAGCTTCAGGGCGACAATGTGGTCACGATTGAAGAAACAGGCTCCACGGAGTCCACGCTACTTCGAAGGACAGAAAATGTCATTTCAAGCTCCATGCTTCCAGCATTACTGTGCCAGCCCTGCATAAGCCAGCACTAGAGAGAGATTGGTTTGAAGAGTGACATTGTGTCTTGTGAAGGAGTGGGAAGAAGCCATAGCCAAGAAGCCATAGCCAAGAAGCAGTGGGGAGAAGCCATAGCTGTGAAGGAGTGGGGAGAAGTCATAACCGAGAAGCCATAGCTGAGAAGCCATAGCTGAGCAGCCATAGCCAAGAAGCCATAGCCAGGAAGTAGAAGCAAGCCAGTGCGGGATACATTGAGGTGGTGAGAGAGGAGTTGTTCCGAGGAAGAGGAGGGAGAACCAACATCAACATTGCACTCATTGTTTTTTCTTTTTTAAGATGTTTCCATGCTTTGCTCTTCTTCTTCACTCTTGCCATACCTTGCTATCTCAATTTACTGCATGTCATTGAATTGAGCCTTGTTAGTTCATGTGAGATTTGGTCGCGAGCTTGTGAAGTTGGGTTCATTACAATGGTAACAATACCAATTGTTCATTTAAAAAAAAAAAAAAAAAAAAATAATAATAATAATAATAATAAAAAAACAATTGGTACCAGAGCTAGTTCCCCCTCATATCTCCAGTAGAGTTAGTTGAAGTGGCGGCGTTGGAGGTAAAGAGAAGCTGCTTGGCTATTGTATGGGACCAGAGTTGCACCCGCCAATGGTCGGCGACTCCCGACCGATCACCTCCCGACAAGCCAAGTTGTGGAACAGTCAGGGGGGGTGTCGGCTGCTCGCAACAGGCCAAGTTTTTCTCGCTCCCCCCCCCCCCACCTCTCCCCCCGCACTCCTTGTTTCTTTCCTTCTCTTCCTCCTCCCCCACAGTGTTTTGAAGTCTCTTTTATTAACCTTGTATGCCTTGAAGTTGCCCTTTTATATCGCCCTCACTGTTGGGCCCAATTGTTCAGCTCACTATTGCTCAAGTTGCTGTTCATAAAGCTTTTGCACCAATCCATGACATTGCACAAATTTTACTTTTTCATATTCGACGAAAAGATCTTCAGAGGACAGTGACAGGAATAAAGCTGGATGTAAGACTACATTCGTTCCTTTTTTTTTCTTTGCTTTTTTCAGTACAGGTAAAACGACAATTTCTAAGTCTTGCCGAGCTACACTAAGCCCTTGTCTGCCTCTTCAGCTGTTCCCGTCGCCAGCTTGGCAGTATTGGCCCTGGTACTAAGGCCTTTGAAGTAGGCATTGGTGATCTTAAAAAAAAAAAAAAAA